ATATGGTCAAAATCAATTTTTTGTCAACTAACAAAAAAGAAGAAGATGAATTCTATTCATTTGGACTTCAACTGTTAATTTTTAAAAGGCTTAGGACATTCGCTGGTATAAACTGAAGGTTAAGAAAATGTTTGCTAAAAATTCAAAAATATGGGATTGTTGATGCAATTTTCCCAAATAATAATCGAAATATTATAGAACGAGATATGATTCGACAACTATCACGAGATTAAGTATGGGATTTGACGACTATCATGAGATTAAGTACATGGTTATTCAACCAATGTTTTTTCCCCCTATTTAGGTAAGAACGCCTGAAAGAAGGGTAAAAAAGGCAAATGATCATAGATTGTTCCAACAATTTCATGTTGGTCATTGAATTTAACATTAGTTTTCAAACTTATTTCTATCCACACATTTCATGGGACCACAAATTTTATCAACTTTTCAATTACATATTTTTATCTAATTTTATAAAAATCTGCTAAAAATTTAATTCTATTAAAATAAAACACGAGTTTAATTTCATTCAAAACTGATCATATAAACTCTTATTTCGTACTAGAGATGAAGTTCACGATCAACATAATTAGTACTAGAGATGAAGTTCGACGACCGACATAAAGTCGTGACCATTTAGTATTAAAAACTCGTGATATCCTATTAATGGGGATAGACAACGACACTATTTACCTATTTTAATGTCAAAAAGGGATTTCACAAGAGTTAAAAAATGAATATCTATCTAGGATGCTGCTATTGGTGTTTGAAGATGGTCCAGAAATGATTGACACGAAATTTAAGCTTTATGAAAAGAGATTGCTTGTAAATAGAGACAACTTATAAAAAGACAGAAAGATTTAATAGAGCCAAAAGGTTTTGTCGAGAGAGTTTGGATAGTACAAATTTGTGAAACTCAAAATTATTGATCCGAAGTAATTGATTTTTGGTTCCTACTTGATCGAGATTAAAATCAGATTTTTAGTAGATTTTGATAAAAATTAACAAAATTTACAGTAAAAGAGTTGTGAATCCTATAAAATATATGCTTATAATTAATTATTGACTTTAAATTAGATTAAATTTTTAATTTTAATTCCCTCCCAACTTGGGGTCCTTTTTTTTTTTTTTTTTTGCATTTTTTAAAGCCCATAAAAACTCCTCATCTGATAAAAATGTTAAGGAATGTAAATACAAGAATGGAGGCACTTTTGAAGGATTCCACACATTAAGATACAAAGAACACAACTTGAGATTGAGGAGAGCAAATCAAAGGAAAAAATATCAAGAAATTAGGTTTAAGGCATTGATTGAAAGAAGAAGAAGATTTTTGTGCAAGAATCATCCCTTTTTCCACATCTTCCTTGTTTTCCCCATATTTTATGAGTAGCTAAACTTTATAGCAAACAATATAATCTATTTGAGACTCTTTATTTCTTAAAGTTCGCGTGTTGATTCTATTTATGTATTTAATAATTTAAATTACTTGATCAATAATTTAATGATTTTGTGAATATTTTACGAATCGAGAGGTGAGTTTTATATTTAGATCACTCAGTAAAATTCAGTAATTTAGTATAATATGTAGAGATATCTATGTTAATTACTGTAGTCGTTGTATGAATTCTTAAAATAATTAGTGCGTTTAATTAAGATTGATTCACATAGAGTTACGTAATTGAATTAGTTAAATAGGTTTAATGAGAACTCGAGATGTGTAAATTAAATATATTAGAAGAATTCGATCTAATATTACATTAGATATGTGATCTTGAATTAAGACTTAAATGTGATCAATAGATAAAATTATTATGCTATAATATCCATTTCATATTTCAAACATCAATTCGTTCTTTATGTGCAATTTTGATACTTTCAATTAGTTAGAAGTAGTTAGATAAAAAATCACCAAATCACAATTCTTTGTTTTCTTCGTCAAATAGGAGTTAGAAATATTAAATTATAATCCTTGTGGAAATGATAATTCGGATTCAAAGGTCCACTATATTACCTATTATGAAATTATATGTTTGGGAGGGGAGAGGCGAGATGGGGTCGTGGTGTTGGAAAGATGGTTTCAGATCTTTTTCTTTTTCCTTTTTTTATTTAAATATTTTAATTGTTTTATATGAAAATATATAAAATTATTATTTTACCCTTATAAAAAATAATTAAGGTTAAAATAATAATTAATAATATGGTCAAAATCAATTTTTTGTCAACTAACAAAAAAGAAGAAGATGAATTCTATTCATTTGGACTTCAACTGTTAATTTTTAAAAGGCTTAGGACATTCGCTGGTATAAACTGAAGGTTAAGAAAATGTTTGCTAAAAATTCAAAAATATGGGATTGTTGATGCAATTTTCCCAAATAATAATCGAAATATTATAGAACGAGATATGATTCGACAACTATCACGAGATTAAGTATGGGATTTGACGACTATCATGAGATTAAGTACATGGTTATTCAACCAATGTTTTTTCCCCCTATTTAGGTAAGAACGCCTGAAAGAAGGGTAAAAAAGGCAAATGATCATAGATTGTTCCAACAATTTCATGTTGGTCATTGAATTTAACATTAGTTTTCAAACTTATTTCTATCCACACATTTCATGGGACCACAAATTTTATCAACTTTTCAATTACATATTTTCATCTAATTTTATAAAAATCTGCTAAAAATTTAATTCTATTAAAATAAAACACGAGTTTAATTTCATTCAAAACTGATCATATAAACTCTTATTTCGTACTAGAGATGAAGTTCACGATCAACATAATTAGTACTAGAGATGAAGTTCGACGACCGACATAAAGTCGTGACCATTTAGTATTAAAAACTCGTGATATCCTATTAATGGGGATAGACAACGACACTATTTACCTATTTTAATGTCAAAAAGGGTTCACAAGAGTTAAAAAATGAATATCTATCTAGGATGCTGCTATTGGTGTTTGAAGATGGTCCAGAAATGATTGACACGAAATTTAAGCTTTATGAAAAGAGATTGCTTGTAAATAGAGACAACTTATAAAAAGACAGAAAGATTTAATAGAGCCAAAAGGTTTTGTCGAGAGAGTTTGGATAGTACAAATTTGTGAAACTCAAAATTATTGATCCGAAGTAATTGATTTTTGGTTCCTACTTGATCGAGATTAAAATCAGATTTTTAGTAGATTTTGATAAAAATTAACAAAATTTACAGTAAAAGAGTTGTGAATCCTATAAAATATATGCTTATAATTAATTATTGACTTTAAATTAGATTAAATTTTTAATTTTAATTCCCTCCCAACTTGGGGTTACAATTTAGAGGGTGTTTGAGAGACATTTTTATGTAAAAATACATTTTTGAATAGTAAATCGATGGAAAATGTGTGGTTGAAAAATAAGGAAAAGTTATTAATTTACGTATAATATTATTTTAATAAAGAATGTGTGGTTGAAAAGAAGAGAGAGAAAAATGCATTTTAAAAAAAATGGGTACCAAACGGGGCCTTAAGATGTGGGGAAAAAATGATTTAATTCAAGCATCAGGCCCTATCCTATCAACTTTGTTGCAACTTCGTACCCAACATACACTTATTGGTGGAAATGGTCCCCAACCTATCGATTTTGTAGCTTCATTGGTTATAATGACGAATTTTGTCTATTTGACTAATAAAGATCAATTATTTTATTTTATTTATTTTATTATTATTATTTTTTCGGGGGTTGAAAGACCTTTCTATATTATTCTTAGTGGATTAATCGTATTGACACCCACCCAATCGTCACACCAACTCCAATTAGCTCATTTAATTAAGGACTTCACTGCTGTAAATTAAACTTCAATTACCTAATTGAAGCTAGTGTGGAAATTAGGTGACTTCCACTGCAATTAAATTTTGATATGTGAACTCCGTTCCAAAAATCAATTTCTGACGAGTTTTTAACGTTTTAAAAATAATTAAACCCCAAAATTCTATTCTTAAAATTATTCAAGCGTTGGGGGAAAATGAAGAAAGAAATCTAGATTCCTTCCATATATGAAATCGAATTATTTGGAGTGGGATGTAACTATTCCTTTAATTAGAACTTACCTATTCCTTCATTTCATTTACTAGTTATGGAACAAATACGAATGATTTACTAAGCACCGATTCTCATTTAATGTTAAACATGATTGTAGTCTCAAGTAAATTCATTGGTGATTGATTGATCGGAAATTTCATTTGTACTCGGGCGTTTACATGCCCAGTTACACACCCCTCACATGTGTGATGTGTAACCAGATGTGTAAACGCTCAGGTACAAGTAGCTTGTTCCTTAATGGATAAACTTATGGTTAGCCTCAGCATTTAAATTAAAGCCTCTGTTTGTTTTCCATTCTTTTCTTATTAAAATGAAAAATATGAACGTTATCTATTATGTCAAGTCATCATATTTGAATTTCTATATCTTTTGTGGGGTCCATAACGATTATATTTTTCATTCTCATTTTTATAAAAATGAAAAACAAATGGAATCAAAGTTAAAAATTATCAATAAATTTATATAAGCATCGATTCTCGTTATATCGTTAGAGCAAATTTCTTAATTCGCTCGCTCACAATTTACCCGCTAGTCAACGCCGTTCAGCAATGTAGCGCCATAATGTTATTATTTTTATTTTAAGTCATTTTTTCCTTTTTGGGAACAGAATCTCATTATTCTCTTACAAATATTAACCTACTCACGACCTTATTACACCATTATAAACCGTCCAATCATATAACAACTACTCATGACGTGGCAGGTCTGAGTTAAGTAGCAAGTTGGAATTGACCGCACTGGACAATTCTTCACAACATGCTACAATTGTCCTCGAACATTAGACGCCATCCGACGGTCCAAAACCCACCTTGGTGGCTTCTATGAATTTAACCTGTTGGATTAATTATTCTTGGTGAAACCGTACGATGAGATACTCAGCTAAATCCGACCGTACAAAATTTGCAAAATTGAATTTCAAAAGCTTGGCTAGAGAGGGAGGAGCACTCAAAGCCTCCAACCCCTTCCCTTTCGAAAATCCCTCCTCCAGTACTCCTTTTTTTTCTTAGACAAATTATTCGTATTTTACATACGTAATTCTATACGTATATACGGATCAAGAGGCTTCTTGATTGAGGTTTTATTAGTAAGGAATTATAGAGCCTGACATAATTATTGGAATTTTGTTTGAATGTGACCTGTGTGAACAGAGATACTCTCTTTAATTACTGATTTTTGACCTTTTTAGATTTTGAATTTGGAATCTGTTCAATTTTTTGGTGTTCCTGTGAGGAAACTTGTATAAGTCGTGTTGATTGATACGGAAAATTGCGTTAAATTAGTTCCATTATCTAATGGAACAAAGTGAGGGAGGTGATTTCCTTCCAAAAGGGCCGCAGCAATCAGATGCTACTCCGGCAGCTGCCGCGGATTTTCCTGTGAGGAAGCCGGCGAGGCAACTGGATTTTACGGGGTTCGGAGATGGCGCATCATCATCAGTGGGATTGGCGTTGCCGGAGGTCTCTCAACCGCAACAAATACAGACGCTGAGCCATCTGAGCCAGCCTCTGCAGCAGCAGCAGCAGCAGCAGCCACGGTTAGTGAAGCCAAAAAATCAGCCTCCAAAGGCGCCGCCGCTGCCACAGATGCCATTTGTGACAATGCAACAAGCCCCACAATCGGCTGCGGCATCCTCTCATCCTTCTATGCGACCTGCTCTGTGAGTCTTTTCTTCTTCAAATTTCAATTTGTTAGGCAATTTGGATGTTTTGGAGAAAATAGATTTAGTGAGAGCTAAAGTTTAAAATTTATAAAAATCGGTTTGGTTTGCTGGTCTTTTATTTCAATGGATAAAACTATTTTGCCAGGAGGATTTGATAGAAAGCTTGACAAAATTGCACGTGGTAGTAGATGATTGGATGGAAAAGATTATTGTGTTTTACACTGTTCAATTATGTCAAGCTTTATGTCAATCTTGATGTTTATGTAAGATAATTATATTTCAATATAGTCACAAAGTTTCAATCTTTTCATTTTGAGCATTCATCATTTTTAGAATAATCTTAGAATTCTTTCTTTATATAAAGGAGTTTCCCCAGTAGAAAAATTTGTCATTTATTCGATTATAGAAATTTGAAAGTCAAATAGACTTGATTGTTCAAAATGCTTTCTGGCCCTTCAAAATATAATTTAGCCTGTTCAGTTAGAAACTTTGGTGGAAGTCTTTATGTATATGACTCTTTCAAGTCATTTTCTATTTGACTCTTCTGTTTTTAACTCTGTTGATGCGTAATTTGTGGGTTACATCACTACAAATGTGGATGCTAATCCCTATTCTTTGCTTCAAACATCATATTTTGCATTCTTTTTGCCTCACCAAGTAATTCTACAGAAACTTTATGCCTTAAGTGTAAGTTCTGATTTTGCTGCTAGTTTTGTTTTTGGTCCACTGATAAACAATCATGTGCCGTGTGCATGAGAAGGTTCCCATGTATTTTCTTGCCTTTAGTTTGCTTGCGACAAATATTTGGGTTAATACCATTTGCGTTCATTTGAATTTATTTCATATTTTTTCCATTTTTCTTTGCATCATAGTTCATAAAGATTCAGAAGTACATTCCAGCAAATTCTCCTTGTTCCATTCTCCTTCTCTGAAGCCTAGTAATTTGAAGACGAAATATTAAAGCTAATTCCGGAATGGTTCTCCATTTTGGTTCTTTTACTTTTCGTATTGTTAGATAGTGAAAAGGATAAGCTATTGATACCTTAATTAATTTTCTAATGATATCTACTCATGCCTATATTATGTATGCAGCATATAAATTGATATACCAAGACAGTTCTCTTAATATTATGTTATAATTCAGTCTTCATTCCTTCAGGAAACCCGAATCCCCAAGAGCGCGGTCAAGGCAAAACCAAGCTGAAGTTAAAGACGGTACTCCAAAAAAGCAAAAGCAGTGTAATTGCAAACACTCACGGTGTTTAAAGTTGTAAGTAGTTGTCATATTTCATGCCTTTAGTGTTATGGTAAAGTCACTCAGAAATATGTTGATTCCTTCACATTCTTGTCGTGAAATAATATAGTGAATGCTACAGCTTAAGCAACAGCTAATATGGTAGTAAAATTGGGAAATTGAAGGATTCAGTATGAGTGCCCCGGGGAAGGGGGGGGGGGGGTTAGAATAGCCTTCTCTAACTTTCTGCCCTTTTCAATTGGTTTTTGAGCCAACTTTTACGTGCTTGGTTTAGTATATAGTCTATTTTCCAGCTGGTGCATGTATAGTCCCCAACAATGTCAAAATCAAGGACATGGAACAGCCTTCTTGCTTTCACATTTTGAACTTTAGCCATATATTAGTGGTCTTGGCAGGAATTTGCCTATGTTTTGTAACTGAACTATTGGAGGACTAGCTAACTGATAGAATCCTTCGGAGATAATTCCAATTCTGGTCAACCCTAATGGGTAGATCAGTGGTCAGCCTTTGTATTTGATCCCCAATGATCATAATTCGAGTCCTCACAGACCACTGAGGTGAGTACTCGACTGTAAACTTCAGGATCTCGTGGGATTAGTCGAGGTGCGCATAAGTTGGTCCGGACACTCACGGTCATTAAAAAAAAAAAAGGTTCCAATTCAGGTCTTTCAACTATATGTAATTTATATTGACAAGTGTTACCACTCCCTTATGTGTGTGCAGATAGAGCTGATAACCTTATACTATTCTAATGTGTTTGAGGATACCATGAGTCTAGCCACAGGTATTTCACTAGTTGCTGAATCAGAATACCAGCAGTATTAATGGATATTTATAGAGATCTTAACTGATGTTTATAGCATATAGAAGGCGCCCATCATCATGGATCAATATTGATATCTTTACTTGATGTTAAGTAATCTCTTTCCCTTTTAGCAACATTGTTTAGTGAAATAATCTTTTATAAGATAACTATGGAACCTATTGGGTAACAAATATCCAAAAGACTTAGTTGTATGTTCATTTATTAACCATTATCTAACTTATGGTGGCAACTGGGCAATAAAGAAGACTATTTACAATTCTTTGAAGAATTTTGTTGACTGTGATAAATACCTTTTGTGTCCTCTGAGAAATCGTGTGAACTGTGCACACCTTTTCTATTAAATTGTACATTTTCTGAACTGATAATTTTGTCTGGGTTGCTGACTGTCCAATGGTTTGAATTCTCCTACTAAATTAAGCATGTGGGTGTAAACTGCAAGCTGCTTTGGTATGTGGTTTTTTATTTATATATTTATTTTTTATGATACATACTCATTTAATGGTCAGGTATTGCGAATGCTTTGCATCTGGCGTATATTGCGATGGATGCAACTGTGTCAATTGTCATAACAATATTGAAAATGACGATGCCAGACGAGAAGCAGTTGAAGCTACACTGGAGCGTAATCCACAAGCTTTCAGGCCAAAAATTGCTAGCAGTCCACATGGAGCTCGTGATTGTAGGGTACTATCAAAACTTAAAATGGTTGCCTATGCTTTACAATTGATTTGCTAGAGGACTTTTCTGTGATTAGCTTCTCATTGACCGCATCTCAATTGAACATGAATTAAACGAGTCTTTGGATTCAAAGCATGTTTGTCTAAGCTTAAAGAAGAAGTCACTTTTAAGCAAAAAAGATAAGTTTACAATTTTGTTGGTATATTTAGGTAAAATGTACTTCAATGTAAATTTCTGTTTGGCAAAGAAACTACTTAAAGTAAAATAAATATGGCAAATGACCAGAAACTTGTATACTATGTCAATGCTGTGTTTCTGTTGTAAAGTTGAGGGTACTTGGTCAAACTTTAAAAAAGTCAACATTTTTTTTGTTAAGTAGCCCATGTCTGGCTTTATAAAAAAATCCTTTAATTTTTTGCCAAAACCTATTAAAAGAAGCAACTTGTTTTCTAGTAACACATTTGGAAATTGTTAAGTTACATAAAATTAACTTTGACCAGCTTTTAAGCATAGCCAATCATGCTCTTATTGTGTTAATCTCACTTTTCGCTGCATTAAAACCTTTATCTTTTGTATGTAAATCTTTTGACTCGAGGACTCATTATGCTATTTTTTTGTCCCTTTTAATGTCCATCCCTGTATCTTTATAGCCTGACCAAAGACAATAAATCAGACCAAGTGTCCTCTTTATCTTTTGAATGCCTGTATGTTTTACTTAACTATAGGCATATCATCTACATATAGTGGTAGATAGACAGCTTCCGATATTCTATCCTTGAGTAATTTATGATGCTATCATGATGACTTCACTTGAAGACAATTTGAAATACAAACGCTTCAAACCATTTTTATTATTTCCTTGATGATTACTTCAATCTATATAGTGATGTGCTAAGAAGATACGCTAAATCCTGATTTTGTTCTTGATTAAATCCCATTGTATGGTTCATCTAGGTCATCTTCTAAGCTCAGGAAAGACAGATTTGACATCTATTCATTCTCGCTCTAAGTTGAAGTTGGCAACTAAGGCTAGAACAAATTTTATGGTGGTGTATTCTAGAACTCGAGAGAAAATCTTATTATAGTCAACTCTTCTCTGTGGATACTTATTTGCAACTAAACTAGCATGAAAACCTAAAAGGTTCATCAGTGGTTATTCTTCCTTTGCCTTATAGAAAGTCTCATGGTGGAAGAGGAGCTGTTGCTAGGTTATATGAAACAAATAGTAAGTTTTTATAATTTCTGATGTAGATAGGAGTGGTGATGGTGCACTGTATCATAATGTAAACACCCAGGTTGAATCTAATAAATTTCTTAAGACAATAAGGCTGATTTACATCGTATTTTAAGAGAGACATTTTTTACGCTATTTAAAATGTGCCTTTTTTTTTTTAATAATAAAGAGGCGCACAGTTTAAGAGAATGTTACATTCTTCTATTGATTCAACATACCCTACAGATTCAATGTGCACTAACTTATTGACCAAATAAAAAAGTAAACATTATTTAAGCATCTTTTTAATTTGATTTGCACCACAAAGAAAAATGTTAATATTATTTGTATTGACGTGTCCTAGTTTTCTAATAAATCACTTGTTGGCATGTTCATCTCGTGTGCGTCTGTATCCGTTTCTCGTGATGTTTATGTATTTCTTAGTTTACTATTAATCAATTTGTGCCTATGTAGTCTATTAACAAGCTAGCACATGGTTTTTATGCAGCTATACCATCTCTTTCGATATACCCGTAAGTTATTATGCTAAGTACTACTAGGTTGTTAGGGTCTGTAGGCTGGTGCATTAGTTGGTCATTATACATATTATTTTTTAGATGTAGACACTAAATTGTACAAAATCTTAAAATAGGAAACTCTTCATCGAGAGATCAATTATATAGCAATTAGACAGTATAGAATGAGAATTTTTTTTGTAAGTAATAATTAGGAGATCATTTAGATAGCAGTTAGATAATGTAGAATAAGAAGTTTCGTTTCATGTAGTGCCTGAAGCTCTTCTTGCATAGCTGGCTGCCAACAAGCTTGTGGAGATGACAGAGAATAAGAACGAGGCACTGCTATAATATCCAAAGATACAGTAAATCATGTATGAGGAAAACCATATCTAATGTCGAGTAACCCTGTTATGCCGTCGAGGTCCAATGTCAATTGGGCATGGACGTCATTAGCCTCATTAAACCGTACATCTTTCTTGGTATATCCAGATAATAGGTAGGAGCATAAACTGAAACATTTTGGAGCTACAAAGATAGTTATTAAATCGTTAGCACCACATAAAAACATTCCTCCTAGAGTAGCTGTTAATACGAATAAGAGAAACTCTGTTATAGCCATTTCTGTACATTCAATGTACTCTATGGATAGAGGAATACATAAAGTTGAACTTAGTAAAATAAGAAATTGAAAGATTTCATTGAAATTGTTCGTTTGAAAATTTCCCGAAAAGCTAATCATGTATGACACATCATTGAATCATGGAAGATCAGCTATCGAAAGGATTTGAGGCCGATGGAAATATTGATTTTCAAGGAAACTTTCATTTCTAGACGTTCAAACTTTGTTAGCTATAGCGTTATGATAAACAAAACCTTTCTAAGCAGTACTATACATATATACCCAATAAGACCACATCATGTAGATTGGACAACAAATTTGTAATGTTTAGTGGGTGACAACTGGACAAAAACGAACACGCCTAAAAGTATGAATGAATTTATACTCAGGATGACTACCTAACATGCAGTGGTATGAATAGTCAAATTGCATGGTCTGCACAGGCAAGTCATTAATCAAGTAAATGATAGTATATGAAGCTTTAACTAAGATTTTAGTTGGAGCAGAAGATTCAATTAAGGGAGTACAAACAACATCGAAGAGATATCAAATCTTGGGCCAACTACCCCTTTTTGTGGAGGGGTGTAGGGACAATAGTGTTGAAAAAGGATATCCTTCTACTTTAAGTAATTTTGAAAATTGTAAGATATATATTCCCCTGAATCAGAATAGTGATGGCAACGGGGGTTTTCCCCAAACCCAGCCTCACCCCGCATCCTGAGGCAGGTCGGGGCGGGGACGGGGCAACTTTTTGCCTCGTTTGTTGTCCCATTTAATTTTTTATTTTTTTTACATTTTTAAAGTTTCGAATTATGTTATTATTAGAGAATAAAATACAAATTCAAAATTAGTTTTTAACGGGTGAATTGTTTAGAAATAAAATTATTTTTGATCTTTTTTTTTAAAATTTTTTTTTCCTTCACGGGGTGGGTTCCACGACAGGGTGCCCCACCATGCCCCGCCAACCTGTTCAGGGCGGGGCCGATTTTATTGCCATCCCTAAATCAGAATGTAAGACTTTAATTCAAGTGAAAAATTATGTTTTAATTCGAGCAACAAAGGTCAGAAATACATATCATGTTAGGTTTAAATTGAAGAAACACTCATGTGAAACGACTATAATCATCGATGAAAGTCATAAAGACTTGTATTGAGCATGTGAAATGATTGGACTGATGCCCCAAACATCATAATGAATGACCTTAAATAATTTTTGTAGCATGACTTCCATGCATAGGAAAATGTAAGCTCTTGCTTTTGCTAACTTTATATATAGCACAGTTGAAACAGAACTAAAAACTGATCTTTATTCCCATTGACCATGTTTCATTAGACGTGTTAATGCTATGGAATCTGAATGGTTCAATCTTTTATGTCATATCCTCACTTTTATTCGGTACTGTAGTACAAGTTAAAGACATTAAAATAGGTATAGAAATAGAGAAAACAAACGTCCCACTCTAGGCCCATTTATGATCACCTTCCTAGACACTTGATCACGCATAATACAACCACCACAAGAAAAATGAACATCGCGGTTAGTATCCGCCAATTGGTAGACAGAAATCAAGTTTGTAGGCAACTTTAGTGATACAAAAAATTATTTGAAACCATGTCCAGGAGTACTAACAATAGTAGTAGGAAGCAAACTGCTATTAGCAATCTAAATGTATTGAGCATCTTCATACTTGCGAATACCATATAACATATCTATGCTGCTAGTCATAAGGTTTGAAGCACTCGAATCAACAAACCAAGAAGGTGGGAGTTGAAAATTCTTACCTTGAATTCTAAAAGCGGAGATAGTTGATGTAATCATTTCTTGCACCATCTAGGGTATGAGTCTAGGCTAATTATTACCCACTAGTCCAGTCGAGGTGGTTGCAACATTTCGTAAAAGATCTGAAGCCATGGGATTTGACCATTCATACAAAATGCCTGTGCCTGTCTATCTTGGAGTCGTATTCGACATTCCCTAATGATATGGCCATCCTCCTTACAATAGTTGCAAAATTTCTTGCTGCAATTTCACACAATATGTCCATAATCCTTGTAGTTATAGCATTGAATTTTTGATTGGTTTTTCCTTCTTCTCTAAGGGGCATAGGTTAAGTTCGCAAAGTTGTATTGAATCCTATCTTACGTCATTCCAAGTTGGGTGGACGACGACTACTCGTGTCTTAACAATTCACAAAGATAAACATCAAAGAGGGAAGGAATCACGATGTCCTTTCAATCTCCTAAACTAAAGGAGGATCTAGCTTTTACTCATGTTCCAGCTGGCGATTTTTTATTAGCAAGCTTGATCGGATAGTTTCAAATTCTGATCTCAACTTCATCATAAATTGAAATCTCTGACTCTTTGCATGAACCTTCTGAACTGCACCTAATGGTCTTGAGGAACTTAGCATGAATAATGCCCGAATACTCCATAATGGAGAAACCTACTATAGGACAGTTCAATAGATAGATGACCTTGGCTATAGTTACCGATCTCCAACTCCAGGTGAAACCTTCTAGCATTGTTGTGTTGACTGTAGATATGCCTCAAATATTCCCATATCTTTTTAGTAGTTGTGAATGAATGATGATTTTTCATCATGTGATGCTCAATAGATCACAACAGCCAAGAAACTACTATTGCATCCTTGCTTTCTCATTGAATTCCACTGCTAGGAGCTTTACCCTTGCCATCTATATGGCCCACAACTCCTTCCCTTTCACAAACATTCTAAATTGGAAATCCAGGCCAAACGATCTTTTCCATTAAAACGCACAGTAGTGTTTCTCGTGACATCATGAAACAATATTGACTTCTGAATTGGAATTCCCAGGCCAAACGATTTTTTCCATTATAACGCACAAGTGTTTTCTTGTGACATAATGAAACAATATTGACTTCTAGTGCACATATACTCCAGAAAAGAATTCAGGCAATGTGCAACAAACTAAATCTGCTCATAAGAAAAGAAGCTCAGAAAACTTGCACCACAATATCCATAAAAGATTGAACTCACTAGGTATCAAGAGACCTTGATAAAAAACCTCAACTAATACCTTCAAACTGCAGATATAAAGCAGCCAAGAAACAACAAATTTTTTTCCAAGAAACCACACCCCTAAGATCCACAAAATTGACTAGAAAACCAAAGAGCCTCGCGAAAGGGCTAAACTAGGATATTACGAGAGATTTAGACAACAAAGTATTTTGGTATAGAAAATAGCTCTGATATCATGTCAATCTGTCTGAATATGTATATTTCACCGTGTTACAAAGTCATGAATTTATGCAATTATATAGCTGTTTTTATGCTACAAAAAAGAAAAAAACTTCCTAAATTACTAACCTACAATCGTGGAATACTCTTAAAGTCAGCCTTAATTTATACAATTATGGAATCAACTAGCAATCAACCATCATCAGCAAATCAGCTAATAATTAGCCTTTGACTTCCCATTTTATAAGGATTAATTAGTTCCCCGATTTATGCTGCACATCCAATTGCTATGTCCAAGATGAGGGTTATAGTTTATGTCATTAACTGATGTTATAGTTTTAGTGAGCAAGACTATGAGATGGTAAATATTAGAAATTTGAAAGAGCATTTTGAAATATAAAGGCTTTTGTTAAGGTTTACTAAAGTGGAACATATATACTGTTCTTTTAGCCATAATAGAGAAAACATATGATAAGGGAGCTCTGATAAAGGATTCTATTGTTTGAAGGAGTGAGTATATTAGGAATTTAGATTAAATTGCTAATAATATGACTTAAACCAGATCTAATGCACGAGTTTAAAGTGGATTGAAAGAAATGGAAACATGATAGGCATTTTACGTTGGTTGGAAGTTACTTGTCAAGTTAAAATATCAATTCTAGAAAGTGAATAGATGAATCTAAAATGATTATTAACATTAAAGCATATAATGCCCATATCATGCACTTTGTATAGAAGAGACATTAAGATGGATGTGTCGCTGTGCTGGGGTAATATAAGAATAAGGAAATATAGAGGTGAAATCAGGAGGTGAGAATAAATTAAAGGAAGGATAACTTAAATTATTGGGAAAATAATTATGGACCAAGGAAGCTCTTGTTCACAAGAGTGATGTGATCTCCGTGGAGCATTTTAGAAGCGAGAGAGGTAGAACAATTCTTATATGACATGATGTGGAGACAAAACTTTTGATTTTATTTTACTTTTTTGTAGAAGTCGTATGGGATAAAATAGATGTCACAAAAAGTATTCATGTAGCTGATCCCAAGTTTTAGAATAAATATGTTATTTTCCATGAAAAAGGATTCACGTAGCCGATCCCATGTTTATGACTAAATCTATTGTTTGTCGTGGAAAATAGGCTTAAGTCATTGAGCAAGAACATTTCTGTGGAGTTAATGAAATTCTATAACTTAGACAGTCGAACCTTAATGTCATTTTTTTAATAACTACCAATGAGCTGTGTTGAAGAAACCAACATCATTATATAATGGAATACATCTTAAACTTGCTTTTTTAGGTTTTTTTGTGTATGTTTGGCATGTTTTGAACTGATTTGAAATATATTTAGGAAGAAATTGGGGAAGGTTTAGTCTTGGCAAAGCATAACAAAGGATGCCACTGCAAGAAATCAGGATGCCTCAAGAAGTACTGTGAGTGCTTCCAAGCAAATATTCTTTGTTCTGAAAACTGTAAATGCTTGGACTGCAAAAACTATGAGGGGAGTGAAGAGAGGCAAGCTCTGTTTCATGGAGATCATGCCCACAACATGGCATACATCCAGCAGGCAGCAAATGCTGCCATCACTGATGCTATTGGAACCTCTGGATATGGATCTCCTCCAATGAACAAGAAAAGAAAAGGTCAGGAACTCTTCTTTGGATCAACAGTAGAAGATCCTATGCAGAAGCTCCGGCATTTTCAACAGGTAAATATAATGTGATGTTAAAATTGACATACTTCTTAGAGTGGTGGAACATTGTTTGACTTTTATCTGAAGAATACTTTCTATTTACAGGCAGACCAAATCAAGGCTTCCTTACCTTCCTCTTCATTGCCATTGATTCCTGGTCCTTGTGCTGGTAATGCATTAACTTTGGGCCCTTCAAAATTTACCTACAGGTATAAATGTTACCTTCTATCTGGAAGTCCTTAAGTACTAGTTTAGACAACTAACAAGTGCATGATGTCTGAAGATCTCTCCTAGATGGTATCATTCAACCCCAGGACTTGAAGGAACTTTGCTCAGTGTTAGTGGTCTACTCTGGAGAAGCTGCCAAGATGCTTGCAGGTACATATAGATTTGTGAAGACTCCCAAGTCTCTCAGATCAGTCGTGTTATTTAAATTATCAGCACATCTTAGTTCCTATTGTTTATAAGAGGCGTACTCTACTAGCTAGCAATGATGTGTTCAGGAAAAATTCCTTCAAAATATTAACAAGAAGATGGAAGCCTTCATCAAATCTGTAGACTGTTGTATGAAATTTGTCAAATACACAAGTTAATACTGAAGAATATATTCAGTGCCAGATAGTTTTATTAAAGATAGTGTAATAGTTCCTTCAATAGTTTTGAGAAAGTTATGGATCCCAGATAATTTATTAGGAACCACCTTTTGATACCCAAGTGCGTCTCTACTAAATTATATTTCAAGACGATGTGTTTTGATCTTTGTCTTAAAAGCGAAAGTCGAATACACAATTTAGGCTTTTAGATGAAGTGGTTCCACATATTGCTTCAACAACATAAGAGATCCTTCACGGCATTTCAAAAAATGCTGATGAAGTACATTTAAGAACTTATTGCTTGTCGATGGATATGATTAATTTTTGCCCTTTTCAGTACTTGAAAATGCTCTAAATCATATTCTTCCAGAGCAAAGAAAAGCTGCAGAAAACCGGGCAGAAAACCCTAGAAAAAACTTGCCGGCTTCATCAATGCAAGATCAATGTCAATCCCCAAACAATGTAAGAGCCGAGAAACCTTTGATTGATGCTCTCTCAAGTGGAAACCAGGCTGAGACGAAAAACTCGGAGGAGTCTACTTCCAATGGAGCTGATGACTCACAAGGAAGGCCAATGTCTCCCAGTACACTAGCTTTGATGTGCGATGAACAAGATACAATATTTACTCCTGATGTCACCCCTAATGGGCTACCAGGCCATAATGTTGTGACTACACAGTCACTGAATAGGCAAGATCTGACTGAAACCTATGCAGAGCAAGAAAGAATTGTTTTGACAAAATTCCGTGACTGTCTTAACAGACTCATCACATTAGGAGAAATAAAAGGCTAGTTTATGTTTCCTCTTCATTTTGCATCTTGTCCTACAAATACACTCTTTACATTGGTCATGTGCAAAATACTGACTCATTTGTTGCATGTGCAGAAACGAAGTATTCTTCGTTGGCACAAACAGAATCACATCAGCAAAATGAGCTAACCAGCAATGGCACGAAATATGTGAGAACTGATACAAGGAGTCCACAACAACCAATTAGCAATGGTGTTGGAAAGTTGGTGTTTAACCACCCGGGACATCTTCAATAGGTAGTATTGCAGCAGTAGTTGCTGCCAATAATGAGCCACATTCAAAAAGTATCTGCCCCCAGCGTACGCTGTGAAAATGGGGTTGTAGTACCAAAAACTAAAGAGAGATGTAAATGTTTAGGAAAAGACATTTACACAGAAATATGCTGATCTCTGTAATATTAGGCTGGTTTGTGGTGCAGCGGCAAACATTAAATAGAGTCCATTGTTAGCTAGGATTGGGTAGAGTCTGAAACATTTTTATGTATTCACTGATACATTAACTTAATTTAAAATTTTACAAATATTATTGAAGAAGTTTCTTAGGAACATCTTTAAATGCAAATTATGTGGCTCTTTTAACTTCAAACTTGGACGTTTTGTAGATTAATGATCTATGACTAGAATACACATGACCAAAACTGATTGAGAAATGCACTAATTTGCTTGATATAAAATAATGTTAGTGTAAAAATATAACGTTTCTTCTTCCCCAAACCTCCAGTCTCATTGCCTTGGGATGTTAACAGGGCCGGGACAGCCCTTCTGATCCCGTCCTACGTGGGGATTTTCGAGATGTGGGGTGGAGATTAAAACTCCGACCCTTTCATTGTCTCGTGTCCAGATAGAAATATGAAGATGAACCGGATAAAGAATGTGTAAAATTTTGTCACCCTTCGTGACTGATTCTTATCTATACAAGGTGTAGTTTATCTCAAATTTATGGAGAACGAGACATTTTTGTAGAAAACGTAGTGCAACTGTGCATGAGAACAAAAATTGTAGAAATTAAGCCTATGTTTGAGCTTCATTTGCTGTTGAAAATGAATTTTGTAATAGTGAATTTTTAGATAATGTGTGGTTAAAAAACAGAAAAAAATTTGGATTTACGTGAAAAGTATTTATTGTAAGAATGTGTAATTGAAAATGAATTTGAAAAAATAAGTTTTTTTGATAATACCGATCAAACAAGGGCTAATTCAACAAGGGACCCAAAGAAATTTGCGCAGAAGAGACAAACCATGCTGTATCCACATATGATAATAGAAAATGTAACTGAGAGTCGACTCACAATATCACAAACTCTACCTTACTTCACAACGATGGACATTGAATATAGCATTCAATTCAATCAATGAGTTCTTTCAAGGTTCACTGTCCTGTAACTGAGGGGAAGGAGTTGTCCTCAGATCCCTTTTAGCTACTCGTTAAGTCCTAATGAGGGTGATTTGGAAGTGATCAACCATTTTTAAATTTTTAATATTTTACAGTGAGTTTCTAACACAAATATATACTAATTTATGTTGGAATATTGTTCACCATAAATTATGAGAGTGATTTGGAAGTGATGGAAGTGATCAACCATGAGAAAGACAAATGAAATCAAAACGAGAACAAAAAACAATGGAGGCCAGAAAATGGCCTGGGCGATTGCCCCCCAACTGCCCAGCCTAGTTTATGAATCATAGAAGCAAATTTAGGGAACTAGACGATCGGTACAAAATTACTGTTGACTTTGAACTCTGGTATCATTTTGAAGGGTTTCAGACCTTGTTTGACCTGATTTTTGCACCTTTTCGTGTATGGAGGTCGTAGTATTATATATGAATGATTTTCATGTTGGAAATATATATTTATCATCAAATTCATTTAATCACTTCCAGAATCAAAGATCAAACTCATTTTCATTATTTGTTCTAAAAGTTTCTTTCCAAGTTTTGTTTTGTTTGATTCGAACTTGGATTAAGATTTTGATTATTTCTACAAACTATTTGCCATAAAAGCATTTAAGCACTTATCCAGATGGTGACAAATATCATTTGAGAACAGCAATCTATAATTGTATTCAAACCTTTCATTTTGGTAAAATATCTTACTGCTGATTTTTCTTTCTTCATCAACTTTTGATCACCGATCATGGGGAAGAAACTATTATGGCTACGATTATGAATCAAAATCTTGTGAAGCTTTATAGATTCAACTGGTCAAACTTTACAAGTGGAAGGACAAGTTTTAAGTTTCTTACTCCTTTGAAGACCTTCTACATTTTGAATCTGGAATTGGAAGCATTATCGGAACCAACGATGGATGACACCGACGAAACAAAGGTGGAATGGAAGAAGAGATAAGAAGATGAATTGATATGTAGAGGTCACATTTTTAATGCTCTTTCCGATTGGTTATACAATCTCTACACCAACATCACTTCAACAAAGGAAATTTGGGAAGCGCTTGAAAACAAATACAAAGTCGAGGAGGAATGTACCGAGAAGTTTTTAATTTCAAAATAAATTGATTTTAAAATTTAATATAATATTCCCTTGTTGCCTCAAGTACATGAACTTCAAGTAATAATCAATAAATTAAAGGTGGTTACGATCGAACTTCCCAAATCATTGAAGTATGAGCAATTATTGCTAAATTACCTCCAACTTGGAAATGTTATATGAAGAAGGTTTTTCACAACTCTGAAGATTTTTCCATATACAAAAACATCTTCACATAGAAAAAGAATTAAGTGCACGAGATAAGATTGAAATTTTTTATAATGGCTAATTGAAAGCAAATTTTGTGGACAATGTCGGTCACTCCAACAAATTAAAAAAGAAGGGAAGGCCTTTTGGTCCTAAAATATCCATGAAAGTTAAAAATATGTCAAAAGGACCTTGCTATATTTGTGAAAAATTGGAATACTATGGAAGAGATTGCAGGCATAAAAAGTAAACCAAGAAACAAGATATGTGAACTCTATTGAAGAAATTATCGCTATGGTGAGTGAAATCAATGCAATCCAACGCAAAATTCTGGTATGGTGGTATAACACTTGTGATATAATCCATGTTAATTATAATATGTCTCTTTTCAAAACTTATCATGACATTGTTGATGGATAAGAGATTCAAATGGAAAATGAAGGAAAATCTAAAGTGATTGGTAAAGGGAACATCGATATCATCTTCATGTTGGGAAAGATGATTATTTTTTACTATTGTTCTTTATGTACCAAAGATGAATAGAAACTTAAAAAGTGGGGTTCTTTTGGAAAATCGAGAATAAAATCTGTCTTTGAGTCTGAAAAACTAGTATTAACCCGAGATGGATACTTTATTGGTAAAGGCTATTTGAGAGAAGGAATGGTCAAACTATGTAAAATAATTCTTTTGCTTATATAATTGATTTATCATTCTGTAGATAAATGTTTATATAATAAAGTGTGATAGGATAATTATATTTATATGTCTTTATGTGGATGATATGTTAATTATTAGTAATGACATAACAGGGATTAAATGAACAAAAATGTTTTTATCATCCATGTTCATAATGAAGGATCTTGGACAAGTTTATATTATCCTTGGCATTAAAGTTAAATGGCTAAACAGTACGAAACCCTGCCTATTTGGCAAATTTTCGAAAACCCTACCTTTTGGAAATGGCAGAAAACGTTCCTGTTTGAAAAGTTGAGCATGAAATATTTCCCTACCGTCCATTTTCTCAATAAAAATTTATGAAATTACAAATATACCCTCCCAATTAAATAAAACAAAAAGAAAAGAAGAGAATAATAAAAAGCTAATTGCAACTAAAGCCCCAAATGTTTTAAAAAATTACAAATGATCCCAAATAAATTATTAAAAATCAAAACTGAAAAACAAAAAACCACTTCTCTCCTTCCTTTCACTCCCACCACCACCATTCACCGCAAATGTTTTGTGCTATTTCGAAAAGGTAGAGAGTTTTCGACAGTTTGCCTAATAGGTGATGGTTTTGTGCAGTTTAGCAAAATTAAAAAGGATAGTGGGGGTTATATATTGAACCAATCACATTATGTTGAGAATATGATAAATAAGTTGGCAATAGCTCAAATTGAATATGCAAGTGCAATTGAAAGTCTTATGTACGTGGTACAATATACAAGATCGGATGTTGCATTTGCAGTGAGTAAACTAATTAGGTTTATTAATAATCCATGTTCGGAACATTGGAAAGCCATAAGGTTCTTGGTTACTTGAAGAAACCAAATACCTTGGACTACAATATACAAAGTTTTTGACTATCCTTGAAGGATATACCGTGCTAGTTGTATATCGAGCGCGGGAGAAAACAAGTCTACTTCAAGTTGTGTATTTACTTTTGAAAAAGGTGTAATTTTTTAAAAGTCTAAGAAACAATCATCGTTACATACTCAACAATGGAGTCGGAGTCTGTAGCATTGGCTGAAACTAGAAAAAAGGCTAAGTGGCTAAGGGATCTTTATAAAATTCCATTGGATGTAAAGGATTTTTCTTCTATACCTATCTTGTGTGTAGTTAACCCACTTTAGCACGAGATATAGCGAAGTATATAATGGAAAATCTAGACATAGTCTAAGACATGCGTATGTGAGAAAATTAATCAAATATGAAATAATTTTTCTTACATATGTTAAGTCTAGTTAGAACTTAGCCAATCCATATATTAAACCTCTTACAAGAGAGTTAGTAAGATAAACATCGAGAAGGATGTGATTGAAATTCCTTGATTAAAAGTCCACTAATGATAGCAACCTATCAAAATATAGTAAATAAGTATATCTAGGTTTAAATGGTAATAACAAGTCATTTAATAAGGGGATAAGTTTTAGCACTATTAACCTATTTAAAACCCTATCCTAGATGAATAGCGCTGCTTGTCACGGATAGGAAGGTTGAATTTCTATAACTCTTAATAAAGTTTAGATCGATGGATCAAGTGATCTAAAAGTGACAAAGATACTATTAGAACTTTGCCTATACAAACGACAAAGTGGGCCTCCTTAGTAAAGAGTAGGAATTTCTCTCTTAAAATCTTGTGCATAGGGGAACGCAAGGCCATAAGAGTGCTAAACAAGATTGTATAGAACTAGAAAATTGATGCTTATGTGTGTGATTTCACCGGTATCATCACAAGGAATAATATGTTAAAAGCTTTTATGCAACCTAGGATTGTGATGATCACTTTGTGAGATTTAACCTAAGGTTGGATTTAAATTGAAATATATCCATACTCTATGCATAAGTGTAGTTAAACTTGAGTTTAAATTCATTATATATTTGACCGAGTAGGAAATTGTTAGAATATTGTTCAACATATATTATTAGAGTGATTTGGAAGTGATGGAAGAGATATCAATTACAAAAAAGATAAGTAAAATCAAAACGAGAACAAAAAATGGTGGAGACTGAAAAGTGGCTTGCGAGATCGTCCAGGCTTAAGGTAGGGCAATCGTCTAGCCTAGTCAATGAGTTACAAAGGAAAATCTAGTGAATAGACGATCTTCCAATTTTGTACCGGGCGAT